CACTTACAGTTTAAAAGTAAAACTCCTGTCAAATAATCACAAGACATGATTAAGACAAACGTCTTTTATATTGTAACCTGCCCAATATAACAATTATTTGAACAAATTCAAAGTTCAGTCAACAGATCACTCAGGTTTATCAGCACAAAATAACATTTTTAACATGAACAATAACAAAAATAGACAATTCAAAAAAATAAAATTGTGGACATAAAATAAATAAATTAACAATGTTTAATGTAAATGTTTTAAATTAAAAAAGTAAAAATAAATTTGATAAAGTACAAATGAAAATATAGCATTTTTTAAACTTTTGCAACTAGAAGCTTCTTTTCATATGAGTGACAAACTATAACAGTAACAACAGCTTTTTGACAAGTTTAAATTTAAAATACATTCAAAATGTTTAAAAATAAACTTGGCTACAAAAATTAATTTAAAGTGCAAATTAAAATATAGCTGTATCTGCAACTGTGTTTGATAATGTTTTGAACTTTTAAAATATTGCATGGTAAAAACAGAAGCTGCCCTTCATATTAGTGACAAACTGGCATTTTTTGATGAGTTACTTTTGTTTTTGCTTCTACATTTAATTTAAAGTAGTTTCCCTTTTCCATTCACGGCAGGTTTCTAAGGTTCTTCTTTTACATATTAAAAAAGTTGTTAAACAACTGAGTGGTGCACTACTGCTACTAGTGGTGAGAAAGTGTATTGCACCTTATTCAAAATCAATGCGGTACCACGGCCTTCTACGGCCAAAGTTAAAAACTGTTGTTCTTTTGAGGCCCTCGAGGTGGCGCTCCGCGGCCCATAGGTTAAAAATCTCTGGAAATGTTTTTATATGGAAGGTGTAAAAAGTAAAACTGCAGGTTTTACAGCCGTTTGTAGCTTTTTTAAATATTGGTCTAAATAGAAACTCATTTTCTGTAGATGCCAGGCAAGAGAATGATGAAACAGAAGATGGCACCATGGAGGAGGATTCCCGTGACGCACATGTAAGTCCATAATGCTATATCATTATGGTTATTGAGTTGGGACATTAGACATTATTTGATACATTTGCTGCAATAGTAAACAAAGACTGTAAGAATACTGTAGACTGTTTTAGTCTTTATAAATTACGAAAAAAAATTGTCATGTGAACGGTGCTGTTTTATTAATGCAGCAGAGCATGCTGGGTAATTGATAAACTTCACTAGGATTTCTGATGTGAGGCTGTGCAAGCTCACTTATCCACCCTGAAGGTTAATCTTGGATGATTTCTGATGTTCAGCACTTTTAAATGAAACCAGAGTGTGTTGACAGGGAGGTGAATGTAGAAAAGGCTCAGCCTGCAACTGAAAATGTGGATGGAGGACCTCAGTTTAGCTTGTTAGTTTGTTGCGTTAGCATCGAGCTAATGCACACACACATGCACGAGTGTTAGCTAGGTAAAAGCTAACGCCGCACATTTCTTAGTTCTTTTATAACGCATTATATATATATATATATATAGTGCATTAGTTCCTGCGCTAACAACATTAGCTTGTGCACTAATGCTATATTGCCATATACATGATGTTTATCAAATAATGTGAAATGTCAAGGTAATTTAGTTCAGTCGTTTCCTCTTCAGGATGACCTGGACGATCACGAGAACATGCAGGACATGGACATCCATGACATGAATATTCTGGACGAGACAGAGAACGATAGTGGCATTCTGGCTGAAGACCACATGGAGGATGAAGATAAATTTGACGAAGAACATGACCTTAAGGCTCTCGAATCTGAAGATGAAGCTAGGGCTTTAGAAGTGAGAAATCCGACCCTTAAACTGACTATGAAAGTGTTTAAATTCTAATATTGTAATTTTTCTCTTTATCTTACCAGTTGGACCAGTGTGGGACTTTTGATGGGGATGAAGATATGAACTTCTTATCATCCAACATGGTATGTGTGCAATCAATTGTCATTGACACGAGCATGTGAATAAGTAATAAAAACATTTATTTAAACACTAACTTTTGTTTTCATGTTTTCTTTTTTTTTAAGGATTCAGATGCTGGCGAAGGACAAGCAGGTACTGTAGAACACGGTTTATCAGAAACCTTTTCTAGAGAGATTAGCTTGGAAAATGCAGACAGTTTAGTTGCAATCAGGAGGAGAGACTGGAAGTCCAAAGGAAATTGCTGGCCTTGTGTTGACATTTTGTTAACTATTTTAAAAAGATAACCATCTTTGAAATATTTTTCCAAGCAATGATGAGTGTTTTTAAAGTGATTTACACAGCCATGGTTAACAGTTTGATACACATTGTCAGCAATTACACCTCACGGTTAGGGATTGAGCCACTGCAGGTGATTGTAGTGTTTTTAGGTCGCCACATGAAGATCAAGACAAAGAAGATGACGAAGATTTCTCTGCACCTATCGCTTGAAATGAAACTGTTGGATTTGAAGTTGTGGTCAATAAAAAAGGACGCTGAAAAATGGTTGGAAGAAGATGGACTGCTGTGAGACCCCACGGCTGCATGGCTGGTCTTGTGGCTCTCTTCAGCAATAAACTATCAGTATGTTTAAGCTCAGGTGACTAGAGTGAAGTGGTTCTGCTTGAGAAATAAACCAAAGCCCCCTAAGTTGCTTGGTTGCCCTCACACCTTTGGGTTCTCTTCCAGTCTCTTCGTCAGCCAGTGGTCATGACGTTCCTAATCCAGGCCTTTGCCAGTTCCTCGTTAACCATTGCTGTGTTTCAGAAGTGATTAAACTCTGTGCCATTCTATTCCTGTTAAATCCGTAGAAAATGACAAAGTAGCCGGGTCTTGTTTATCTGAGCCGCTTAAAGAAGATCGCCCCGGGACGAGCCCCGAAGAAGAGCAAGCCGCCACCGCCAGAGGGGAAGACGGTGCATCCGCCACCGGTGCCAGGTCCGACGGCGACGCATCTGTCGAGGAGAGCAAAGAGGCCAGGGACGAGACGAGCGTCCCAGAAGAGACATTTGACTCTGAAAACAAAAGCTCGCAAACTGTTAGTGTAAGCGAACAGGGTGACACGAGTGAAACTGTTGATTCAGAAAAGGGGTCTAAGAAGGGGGAGAAGGATGAGAAGACGGAAGATAACGCTGCTCCGGATTCAACCTCACCGCTGAAAGAGTCCTCTTCTGTAGAGGGCGATGATCAGAAAAAGAGGTTTGTTGCTTTCTGTATATTAGAAACCAAAGTGGTTATCTCTGTTGCATTGGCCTCTTTGTGTTAGCAAAAAAATTGGATGCTCTTTGACGGTGAAAATGTTGTGTGGATACGTGATGGGTTGACATTGCCTACACTCACTTTATTATCCCTTACTGAATAATTTATTGGGTTAGTAAGTCGGTAGAATTCAATATATTCACCATTACCTAACTCCACTGTGGACCATGAAGAGATGATCACTGAGAGTTAAGTTTAATATCTAATTGAAGTGTTTACATCTGTTTTAGGTGGTCCGAGGTGCTCTAGTTTTTGTTGTTCACAATTATTTTTGTTTTGTTTCTAGCTCTGAGGAAAAGGATGACAAGACGGAGTCAAAAGATGAAAAGGGTATGGGATTTTTTTTAAAACGGATCCATGATTAGTTGTGACATTAGACTTTATTTAATAAACATATATTTTAACTGTAAAATAAAGACTGTAAAAATACTGTAGGATGTTCAGTTTTTATCATTTTTAAACTAAAAGTTTAAAAATATATTTTACGGATGGAGCCATTTTATTTACACACAAAGCATTCTGGGTAAATGATGACGTGGATAGGTCCTCAGTGTGAGGCTGCTAGCGAGCTATATCCACCCTGAAGGTTAATCTTGGACATTATCTTATGATTGGCTCTTTTTAAATGAAACCAGAGAGCGTTGACAGAGAGGAGAAGATAGAAATGACTCAGCCTGTAACTGAAAATATAGATGGAGGACAACAGAGCTGCTTCATGGAAGAAGAACCTCAGCTTAGCCTGTTAGCCTTTGCGCTAGCCCCAATGCTATCACCATATATATGTATTAGCTCAGCGCTACACATTCTCCTGTCATCACTGAGGTCCTCCATCCACATGACAGAGAGGGGAACACAAAAATGACTCAGCCTGCAACTGAAAATAAGGATGGGGGACCTCAGTTTAGCTTGTTGCGGTAGTGCTAAGCTAATACACATAAGACAATATAGCATCGGCGCTAGCCCAAAGTCTAACAGGCTAAGCTGAGGTTGTCCTTCATCCATATTTTCAGTTACAGGCTGAGTCATTTCTACCTTCTCCTCTCTGTCAACGCTCTCTGATTTCATTTTCTAGATGATTAGATTTTTGTGAATTTTGTTCTTGTTTGTTTTGTGCAGCTGCTGGAAGTGGTGTTGCAGCAAACAGTAGCAGGAATCTATGGGTTAGTGGTCTGTCCACAACTACCAGAGCAACTGATCTGAAAGCTCTGTTCAGCAAACACGGCAAGGTGAGTCCTGAAAATAGTCCTTTTCTAGCATTTCTACCCTCTTCGTGCATATTCATTTATTATTTTATGAAATTCAGTTTGTAAAAAGAGATATTGAGCTCATTTTTTATGCTTCCTGCAGGTTGTTGGTGTAAAGGTGGTGACTAACGCAAAGAGCCCCGGTTCTCGCTGCTACGGCTTCGTCACAATGTCGTCCACAGAGGAGGCCACCAACTGCATCAACCACCTCCACAGAACGGAGCTGCATGGCAGGATGATCTCTGTGGAGCGGGTGAGTGCTGGAACACACAACCCCAATTCCAATGAAGTTGGGACGTGGTGTAAAACAAAAACAGAATACGATGATTTGCAAATCATTTTTAACCAATATTCAATTGAACACACTACAAAGACAAGATATTTAATTTTCAAACAGTGTTTGGAGCATTCCACAGGGGAACAGGTTAATTGGAAACAGGTGAATATCATGATTGGGTATAAAGGGAGCATCCTCGAAAGGCTCAGTTCACAAGTAATGGTGCGTTCACACCGAACGCGATTTCAGCGTCAGGAGCAGCAGGTTTACATACAAAGTCTATGGTGGACGCGCTTCAAGCAACGTCGGGAAGTTCTGCGGCGCCTCAAGCGCGATTAGAGCAGCGCGATTTGGACGATTTGGACGATCTGAGCGTCGAACGCTCAAATCGTCCAAATCGCTGAAGTTGGAAAA